TACATCTACTCGATCCTCTACTCACAGTAAACTCAAACATAAATACAACAGAACATCTAAGAGTCATCACTTTTACTTCAACAGGATTGTACGTATCTGGAACAACCTACCAGCCATTGACCTCTCAGCATCTTCACATCAATTAAAGCAACAAATCATCAATCACTTCTGGGATCATTTTTTATTGCATTTTGATTCATATAATTCATGCACATATCATTATTTGTGTCCCTGTAGTTCTTGTTCATGTACTTAAATTTTGTTTCTTTCTCTTTTCCTTTTCTTTTTCTTTTTACTCTACTATAAAGGCTGCTTCAGTAGTTGGAGTCAGTCCTTCAACACTTCTATCCTGTCCTATCTCTTATGTTACTTATCCTTACTTTTTGTTCTGTGCGTTTTAAAGTGATAATAATAATAATAATAATAATAATAATAATGAGTGGATTCTTTGTTGTAGAACAGTCAAGCTCTTGAGAAACTAGAGCATGAGATTAATCCACTGCTGGGAGCAGACATTGCACATCTACTTAATAGTTCATTTACTTGTATTTACTTCTATTTTTAAAATAAAGTGCTTGTATTTACTTGTACTAATATCAAAAATATTCTCTATTTTAGAAAACTTAATTCATGTATTTTACTAAAAAAATCATCTACTATCATGTATTGAAATGAAGAAGAGAGGACAAAAACACTTAATAGTTATTATAAAATGCACTCATAGCACAGTAAATGAGTATTGTTAAGTAAATAAATGAGTTTTTCCAGTTTGGAAAAACTGCTACTGTCAGAATACTGCTAGAAGTGGATGGAAAAGAGATTCAATAGATGATGTCCTTGAGCATGTGTGTTACTTGGTCACACCAAATTCAATTAAGGCGTGGCCTAAGTAAATACATGATTTTATTCTTCTACTTACAAAACAGGATCATGTATGTACTTGTATTTATTTTATCATAAAAAATCGTGTAAATATTCATATATCGTCTATAGATGTGAAATGTCTGGCTGGGAGATGATCCACAAGCTGCTCTGTCCTTCCTCTGTCGTAAATCCATTGAAAGAATGAAAGCAGTACCTAATGTGAGTGATATGAGGCTTGGTTTTTCTGTCTTTATTCATATACACAATCTAAAATATTCATGTTATGTCTGTTTCACCTTTATATAGTCTTGGCCATTTCATTTTCCAGTATCTTCTAAGAAGTTACCAGATTATAGAATGATCATAACTAAACCAATGGACCTTTAGACTATGAGAAAGGTTTGCTCTTAAAATTATACTTAAAGTATTCATCATAATGTATTTTATTGGACTATAATGCATACTTGCTCTCTTGTAGAAATGTGAGGCTGATAGTTACAGAAGTCATGAGGAGTTTCTTGTTGATCTTAATCAAATAGTTGATAACAGTATCACATATAATGGACCAACCAGTCCCTTTACTGTCACTGCCCAGAGTATGAGGAAAGTGGGACTGCAATATCTTGAAGAGGTGAAGGAAGAGTAGAAGTAGTTTTAGTATTTTGGTTTATTTATTTAAAATTTACTGTTTAAAATTATTTAAATAGCTATAGCCTAGTTACATGTACATGTAGTTGTGATTTGCATATATGTCACCAAAAAATGACTACAAAATTACTTGTGGGTATGAGCATGTTTAGAAACAAGCAAATTTTGTCATACACTTTTTATCAATAAGAGATCTATGCTTTGCTCTTACCCTTTTGATGTTTTACATTATTTTTGTTAGCTAAAATAAAATTAAGGAATTACTATTATTACCATTATTCTAGGAAAGAGAACATTTTGAACAATATGAAAGCCAGTTAGGACCTTTTGACAAGTCACCACTAAATGAACCAGAAGGACTAGGAGGAGAGAGTGGAGATGAGGAGGCAGAGGAAGAAGATACTAGTACTAACATGAATATTACTGGACAATCCAGTGTCATCATTACTAGTGAAGACAGTATTCAGGTATGGAAAGAAACAGATTATCATAATAGCAGGAAATTAGATTGGTGAATTTGGCATTTCTATAGCCATTTGCTAAAAT